TTTATCATATTCTATGCGAAGAGACAAATATCTACTAGATATATCCCAATGGCAGCATTTACAATTACATTTGCTAACTACATTGCTTGAACCAGCAGCGTTTTCAGAAGTAAATTGAATTCTACAGACGTAAAGGATTCTTAGCAGAATTTAAAACTATTTTTCCATCCTATCAGAAAACGCTATTTATACCGGTAATAAAATCTGCACCCTATGTCTCACTGGTCTGGCCGTAATTCATTTTCCAAATTCGTCTGCTAGCTAAGTGCTTGTTTATCATTTTTTGTAGATTTTTAAATAATATATATGCTTTGGCTTTTGACATGTAAACAAAAATACAAAATGTTGTCTTATAAATATAAGAAGCTGTGTCACAGAACAAGGAAACCGCACAGAAAGAGGCTACAGCTTCTTTGCATGAAAATATGGTCTAAGCAATTAACAAAATGGAGGTCATCAGCAAGAGTTATTTTATTTTAAAATGAATCCTTAGAGGTCCTGGTGTGCAATGTAATATTAAAATACGTTAATAAATACTAACTTAAAGTGCTTGTGCTGAAGTCGGAAAAGAAAAATACTTCAATTTTCCAGAAGTGGAGAAATATCAAACAGGGATTGAAAGTAGATAGTCAAAGAATCAAAATGAAAATGTAAACCAATGAACAAGCCCTTCTTCAGATCCAAGCATCAGAATCAGAATATTTGTATTATTTTTAAAAAGTGAATTCCTTGGTCCCTAGATATTTTGAAGAATTCCAAAGTAAAACCTCTTGCTTCTTGGATCAGCCCTGATATAATATTAAAGTTCTATGACAATGACCATAATTTTACTCTGAATTTGGCAAGAAGCTTTTTCCAGATTATACTGAAATCTGAATTTAGTCATGATTGAAAGTCAATTGCTTCTGCAGAATAAACGTACCCACTACTTTAATATACTGTTATAAAATATAGTTTCAGTTCAGGTTGGGCATTTGTAACGCAACCAAACAGCATCAAGCAGGTATGCACAATAATAATTTAGAACTCTTTTGAGTGATTTTTTCCCCTGTTAATAAATTTATGTCTAATGTAGCTGATGTACTTTGGAAGATATGATCAGTATAATCTAATTAACAAAGCTTGAAATCAGTGGATAGTGAGCAATCTCTTGGACATGATTTATAGGATTAAAGGCTGTAAAGCCCTCAACACCAGTAAATGAAAAATATTTGGGGATGACTTTATTTTATCACCTCTTTATTACTTTTATAAATATGTAATACTCCTTCCTCTTTCTAATTTTTATACAACAACTCTGTGAGGTGGGTTTGGCTGAGAGAGAGAGAGACAGAACCAAAGTCACCCAACCAGCTTGCATATGTATAGACCTGTGATGATAAACCTATGCCACATGTGCCAGAAGTGGCATGCAGAGCCATCTCTCTGGACATGCCAGCCGTCGCCTGTTGCTCTTTTGAATAAAATGCAAAAGTGACCCATTTCATCCCAGAAAACTTCACTGCGTTTTTCTTCTCCCTTGAAAGAAAATAGAAAACCAGCTCTCTTTCAGCAAATTAAATCTGATTTATCAACAGGAAATGCTTCTTAAAGGAATTGTGGTTGAGGATTAAGAAATGCCTGCTTGGGGATGCTACTCTTTTAGCTCCCCATGATTTAAAAGTCCATCTTACATTTCTGCCTGAAGATATAATTGTGTCTCTAAGTTCAGTTTCAACGGAAAGAAAGAAAATCTCCATCACAATGACCTTTAATTTGCCGTTTTTGCATATAGTATGAGTAATCCATTCTGGGGGTGTCAGGGTGTTTCTTTCCTTGAAAAGTTATGGAAAAATATACTGATGATACCTCACTTCAAATTGATGGATAACCTTTCCCTGTGGCTTTATGTAGGTATTAAAGAGGGGCAGGGAAACAAACCTTGTGACATACCATAGGGGAGTGACCTTTTAGTTGTCTTCTCCTCTGTCCTTGTTAGCCTTCCCAGGTAAATCAAACAGGAAGTATGATAACATGAGCTAATTCTACTTTATTGTCAGGCTACATTAGTAGAATCTTGCAAGTCTGGACAAAAACCACAAATCTTCCACTGTCACTTTTAACAGTCTTATACATAGGATGGATCTTTTTAAAGTTTCTTCGCCCACTAAGCAGTTGCAGGCTCCTCTTCCCTTAAGGTCATTCCCACATGGCATTACACTCTTCCAACTAGAACTTCCCATTCAGGAAAGAGCAGAATCACTGTAAAACAGTAACTTCCATTTCTAATTTTTGCAAGCAGCCCAGAAGAATGGTATTGAAGACTCATTATGTCTTGCATTTTCATCTCATGCTCAAGAGCTAAACCCCAAAATTATCCAGATAATCTACTTCATTAAGTATGCTTTGTAGTTTCAGACACCACTTTTTCAACAACCTTCCCTAAAAAGAAACCCTGCCTTTGAGGACCACTCAGAAGCTTTAGGTGATCAAGAATGCAGCAGAATGAGCAAAGAAAAACATGCCTCAGTGTGTCTATGTGACACCACTGCGTTGCATGTTTCATTGGTTACCCTTATGCTTCCAGTTGTGATTCAAGGTGCTGGCTATGGTCCGTTCCAACTCTGTTATTCTATTCTGTTCTGTTCTATTCTATAAAGCCATCCATGGCATAGGAATTGGTTATCCGAGGGATTGCCTGTCTCCTGTGGTGTCTGCCTGGCAGGTACCATCTGCCAAGGTTGGCTTGTTCCCAGTTCCTTTGACTAAACAATGACATCTATCAGAACCCACATAGTGCCTTCATTGTAGTTTCTGGAATGAGGTGCTCCTATTCTGAGGTTGTTCCAGAAGGCTTTCAAAACTTGGCTGTGCTCCCAGACCCTGAGCTATGATGATTAGGGCTTCTTTTTGGATGTGCTGCATGTATTGGTGTTACTGGCCAGATTTACCATCTTGTTCTCCACCTTGTTCTGTTTTGCATTGCATTTTGTCTTGATCATTTTATGGGCCTCTCATAATCAATCTGAAGTCAGCCAGCACCTAAAGTGAATCAAATCAATAAAAGAAAGAAAGAAAGAAAAGGCTAGACATGTATTGTGTCTTAATTATTCCAACAAGAAGGGACTCTTCTGGAGGGGTTCTGCCCCTCCTCTTTAAAGGTGTTGCCCCCCCAGAGGAGATTCAGGAACCAGGTGGGGCCTGAATCAAGCCTGCAAGAGGTGGATCTCCTACCAGATACAGATAATCAGAGTTGGAAGGGACCTTGTAGGTCATCTAGCCCAAGTGGGAGATCCAACATCATTTCTGACAAATGGCAATCCAATCTCTTCTTGAAAGTCTCAACTGATGGCGCTCCCACAACTTCTGAGGGCAAGCTGTTCCATTGGTTGATTGTTCTCACTGTCAGAAAGTTTCTCCTTGTTTCCAGGTTAAATCTGTCCTTGTTCAGTTTCCATCCATTATTCCTTGTCTGGCCTACAGGAGTTTTAGAAAATAGCTTGACCCCTTCCTCCCTGTGGCAGCCCCTCAAATATTGGAAGACCGCTATCATGTCTCCCCTGGTCCTTCTCTTTACTAGACTAGCCAAGCCCAGTTCCTGCAACCGTTGGTTGTATGTTTTATCCTCCAGTCCCCTAATCTTCCTGGTTGCTCTTCTCTGTACTATTTCTAGAGTTTCAACATCTTTTTTATAATGTGGTGAACAAAACTGGATGCAGTACTCTAGGTGTGGTCTTACTAAGGCTTTATAGAGTGGTATTAGTACTTCCCTTGCTCTTGATTGTATCCCTCTGTTAATACAACTTAGGATTGCATTAGCTTTTTTGGTGGCTGCTGCACACTGCTGGCTCAAATTTAGCTGGTTGTCTACTAAGACTCCAAGATCCCTCTCACAGTTACTGCTATTGAGCCTGGTTTCACCCAGTCTATATGTGTACTTTTGTTTTTTCTTGCCTAAGTGTAGGACTTTACTTTTCTCTTTATTGAATTTCATTTTATTAGATATGGCCCAGTGTTCTGGTCAAGATCCATCTGGATCTTGAGCCTATCTTCTCGGGTGTTAGCTATTCCTGCCAGCTTAGTATCATCTGCAAATTTGGTAAGTTCCCCTTCTATTCCCTCATCTAAGTCGTTAATGAAGATATTGAAGAGTATTGGGCCTAAGACGGAACCTTGTGGCACCCCACGGCTTACTTCCCTCCATGTAGACTTAGACCCATTAAGGACTACTCGTTGAGTACGGTTTGCCAGCCAGTTGCGAATCCATCTAGTGGTGGTGCTATCTATTCCACTTTTTTCTAGCTTACTACTGTGGTCTATTTTATCGAATGCCTTGCTGAAATCTAAATATATTATGTCCACAGTATTTTGCTGGTCTACTAATTTAGTCACTGTGTTGAAGAATGAAATAAGATTGGTTTGGCATGATCTGTTTTTAACAAACCCGTGCTGACTGCTAGTTATTACTTTAATTGTTTCTAGATGTTGGCAGATCTGTTTTTTTATTATCTTTTCCAGTATCTTCCCGGGTATTGATGTTAGGCTGATTGGTCTATAGTTTCCTGGGTCTGTTTTTTTTCCTTTTTTGAAGATGGGAACCACATCAGCTCTTTTCCAGTCCTCTGGTAGTTCCCCGGTGTCCAGGATTTTTGAAAGATATGGTGCAGTAGTTCTGAGATGACCTCTGCCAGCTCCTTTAAAACTCTGGGATGTAATCCATCAGGCCCAGGTGATTTGTTTTCATCAAGATCAGACAGGTGTTCTCTTACTATTTTTTTGCTTATTTTAACTTTTATTTCTGGTCTGTCTTTTACAGTTATGTTTTTGGTGGGTTGAGTTATAGTTTCTTTTTGCATGAAGAGAGAGGCAAAGAACGAGTTAAGCAGTTCTGCTTTCTCTCTGTTGCCTGTTACTTCCTTGCCATCTTCTCTCTTTAGTGGACCTACCACTGATCACTCAATCCACTTCTTCAGAACTAAGAATGTTTATGAGCTATACTAATTCGTTGTAAAAACTCATACAATTAACATAGCTCCTAAACATTTCTCAACTTAAACATTGTATCCTGCTATAAGCTTAATAATGGTCTGGTATATCTGAGATGGCACACTTAGGTTTGTTGTTACTCATAAAATGAAAATTGCAATTTGCAGGTTAGATGACAAGCAATGATTTTTAACAAAGTATTCTGTAACTGTTTCCTCATCCAGGGAGCACTACATCAAGTGACTGAAATATAAAGGTAACTAAAGATGAAAGGCAAAGTCTAAATCATAGTTTTCCTACATATATTTGAAAATTCAGACAATGTTTTAATGTAATGCCTGAACAGTCGCTAATGAGAACAGAGCTGGCTTTAAAAAGTGCATTTGATTTTCTTGCTATTTGGTCAACTGAGCACCTGATTCTTTATACTATTCTGTGTTCATGGCAATTTTCCAAGACCCTGGGAGTTCACAGTATAGAGAATATCAATTTGAAATCAATGACCATATGCAAATATAGTTTTTATTCAATAGAAATGATTAACTGAAGATTAGTTTGTAAACTCCCTATAAAATTCACATAGAATGTTGATGCATATTTCTTGCCAAAGAATAAAAGTTTTGAAACTTTTGGGCATTTTGGCAAAAGTTAAATACAAAATCCTCAGTTTAAAAACAATTAGGAATTTTAAAGTTAACACTTTTCCATAGAAGAGATATCCCTTCCTGCATTCTTTCGAGCCACATTGTAATACAGTACAGATAGTTCTCAAATGATGACAGTTCATTTAGCAGTGGTTCAAAGTTATGACATCCTCACCAAAAGTACTTACGACTGGTCCCAAAGTTACGTATGTTGCCACACCATAGCAGTCGCTCATCCTTATGACTGACCACAGAGATGCTACAACTTGTTCCTTGCCTATTCCCCCCCGCCGCCGCCATCCTGCCCTGCCAGATCTCTACTTTAGGCCTGCTTTGGTAGCCCACCACATTCCCTGTTCTCCTCCGCACCCCTTCCCGATTGCTCACTTACCTTTGGAAGATCTCCAGAGCTCAAGATGTCCGTGCAAAGTTGTTTTCCTTAGATCTCACGTTCTTACATATCCTACTGTCTGCTTTGGAAAAGTGTTTTTGCAGGAAGGATGGAAGAATGCGAGATCTATCAGGTTCCTGCAGGTGTTGTTTTGTCCCAGTCTGGGTTGGCACCATGTGCACCATCTGCATATTTTCAGCAACAGTCAAAGCAGCAGCACTATTCCCGGGGACACCTGGGCCCTCGGAATGGGCCAGGTGAATGCAGCTGTCGGTTGCCACACCTATAAACCCGATGCTTGCCTCCTACACTGACTTGAGTGCCAGAGCCCTTGACCAGCCAGGTGGAGAAGCACCAGTCTAGTCTCTTCTCTTTGCCAAGCCCCAGCCTCTCTCACAAATGGCCACCGCTCTGCCCCGCCACTTAATGGAGTGCACCCAGCAAGTGAGGGGCACAGGGCAGCCGGCACGCTAAGTTCTCCAGCTCTGCAGTGGCACAATTGGTGAGATCCAGGTGAGTTCAGTGCTCCAGCAAGTGACTGGACAGAGATCCGTGGCAGCTGAATTCTTCTGAGATGAAAGAACAAAACTCTTTGTAGAATTCACTAGCAATTTCTGTAGCTGTCAATGCATGCTACAGTTACATCGGTTTTTAGCTAAAAGGAACTGGAAAACATCATCAGAAGAAGCTGCCACTGTGTTCTGAACCGTGGAATATTGTACATTGCGATCTTAGACAAATCAGATCTCGAAAAATTCTGTACAATGAATGTTACTCAACACTCCATATTTTATTTTAGAAAAATGGACCCTATAGACCAGGGATCTCCAACCTTGGCCACTTTAAGCCTGGAGTACTTCAACTCCCAGAATTCCTCCAGGCTTAAAGTGGCCAAGGTTGGAGACCCCTGCTATAGACCAGTGATGGCTAACCCTTTTCTCATTGCATGCCGAAAGTGTGTGCATGCATGCCCGCGCCCATAATGCAATGCATGTGTGACCCCCCCCGCTTCTGTGCACACACTGTGTGCCTCTGCACATATGCATGCGACCCCTCGCGCGTGACCCACCCCCCTGCACATGCACATGTGTCTCCCCTGTGCGTGTCTACCCCCACGCATGTACGGCAGATACCTGACAATCAGCTGGCTGGCAGGGGGCGCACACATGCACAGTGGGTCTGTTCCGGGCGATCTCTCGCGTGCCAACAGAAATGGCTCTGTGTGCCGTAGGTTTGCCATCACGGCTATAGACTCTGACCCTAGCTGTGAAATACTATTTGACGTTGAGACATATTGAGCATTCCTTTGTTCATTGAACTTTCCCACGAGTGACATAATTTGGAGCAAAACCATCATCCTGATGCTATTCCCTACCTACATAAAACAGCTCCTTTATATCAATGTGCATCTTTAACCTAAGTGAATAAGTGAAATGCAAATAATTCCACCCAGCTTCAAAGAATCCAGAAGTACTCATTCCTTAATCAAAGCACTAGATTTTAAACAAGGACATGGTTATTATGTGCCTTTAGGTAGAGTTATCTTGTTTCTGAAATACCTTTGTTCATATTTAAGCAATTTTATAAGATACAACTGTCCTTTTCCAAATTTTAATTTTCATTAAAAAATTGGGTCAAATGGTTTCCCTTTATCCATTCAACAAATGCATAAATCCAGTTTGGGAATATATTTTCCTTCCAACCAGCAGAATGATTTACCACTGTTCCTTAAACCAAGAAACTAGTTCTCCATTTGTTTTGCTGCAGCAATCTGCACTTTGCCCTTAGCAAACCCCCAAGTCTACTAGAATGTCAGTAACTGTTAAATTCAGCTCATTTGAGATCCGAGCTTAGATGAATGAAAACAAACATTACATTATGCCAAAATGATGTCTCCTGGTGCAGCTCTTGTAACTGCCTTAAGGACCTCAAGCACAGAACTGGGATGACTAAGTGCTAGAATTTTAATCCTCCATTGCTTGCAAATCATCTCTTATCTATCTCTCTCGTACACCCTGACACCCCCAGAATGGGTGACTCATACTATATGCAAAAATGGCAAATTAAAGGTCTTATTGTGATGGAGATTTTGCTTTCTTTCTGTTGAAACTGAACTTAGAGACACAATCATATCTTCAGGCAGAAATGTAAGATGGGCTTTTAAATCATGGGGAGCTAAAAGAACAGCATCCCCAAGTAGGCACTTCTTAATCCTCAACCACAATTCCTTTAAGAAGCATTTCCTGTTGATAAATCAGATTTAATTTGCTGAAGGAGAGCTGGTTTTCAATTTTCTTTCAAGGGAGAAGAAAAACGCAGTGAGATTTTCTGGGATGAAATGGGTCACTTTTGCATTTTATTCAAAAGGTTATCAGGGTGTGCAAATATCCCTCAGTTGTGTATTTCACAATCCTTTCTTAATCCTGTCCTTCAAATTGCTCATGCAGCCATTTAGGGAAGCAGAGTCCTTGTCTTTCTGTCTCCTTTTTTGCATTGGTATGACCTGAGCTCTACCTTCATTCAGGATTCTTCATATCGGTTACCTACTTCACTTTTTGAGTGGTGTTGATATTTTAGGACAATTTGTTCTAATAGCAAGAATAGGATTTTTTTCAAAGCTACTCGGTCTATACAGTCATCACAGAAAGCCACAGAGAGCACAACTTTAGTTGGGACCATTTGACTTTGTGTCAAATGGAACTTAGAACCAGGCTTAAGATCAGTGTTATTTATTTATTTGTTTGTTTGTTTGTTTATTTATTCAAGTGATTATAAGATAACAGGTATAAGTATAAACATAGTTATGAATACATGAAATGAATACATATAAGAAAAATAAAAAGAAACAATAGGACAGGGATGGTAGGCATGTTGGTGCGCTTATGCACGCCCCCTACAGGCCCCTTAGGAAAGGGGTGAGGTCAATAGTAGACAGTCTAAGGTTAAAGTTTTGGGGGTGTGCAAGTGTGGAGAATGCATCCTTGTACTAAGCTTCCATTGTATGTGTGAGGTAAGTTTGGCTGTGTCATTAGGAAAGTGGAGCAAATATCACAAACCGGAGGAAAAAACATAGCAATGAGAAGGATTTTTTCTGTCACAAAATAATAGCTGGTTTTGGGTGCTATCAGCAGTGAATTGGGGAAAATAAATATTCTTTCCCTGTTTTAGTCTATATATTAAGTATGGTTTCCACATGTTAAAAAAGTTACCTATGGATCATAGGAATGTTGGTTGTAAATTGAACAAATTATATTGATAAGAAAGTTGAATGGAAAACTAATGAGAAAATTGCACTTTTTATAAGGTAAAGGTTCCCCTTGTACACATGTGCTAGTCGTTTCTGGCTCTGCGGGGTGGTACTCATCTCTGTTACAAAGCCAAAGAGACAGCGCTGTCCAAAGACATCTCCGTGGTCATGTGGCTGGCACGACTAAATGCCAAAGGGGCACAGAATGCTGTTACCTTCCCACCAAAGTGGTCCCTATTTTTCTACTTGCCTTTTTACATGCTTTCGAACTGCTAAGTTGGCAGAAGCTGGGACAAGTAACAGGAGCTCACTCTGTTATGTGGTGCTAGGGATTCAAACCTCCGACCTGCCGACCTTTCTGATCAACAAGCTCAGTGTCTTAGCCACTGAGCCACCACGTCCCACCTGCACTTTTTATAATTCAGTTAAATAAGATTACAGTACAATCATCCTAAACGTAAAAGATGCCATCTTTGTTCAAATTAGCTCAACCTAAGTACTTACACAGAGATTATACTGATATCATTGTATTTCCTACATAGATTTTTCTCTTGATGCAGGAGGTTCTTTAGTAACTAAAAAGAAAAGGCCCTGTGACTTCAGTGCAGCTGAGCTTGCCTATACTTCAACATCTCTGGTTTCATCAACCCCCCTCAGGATATTGAGCGGTATGGGAAGCCTACCCTATAAGGAAAGCCTACCCTATATTTAACTAAAGCCCTGGGGGTCATAAATATTTTTGACCTGCGAGAGAAGGCAAGGCT